CCTGTAGTCCCAGCTACTCAGGAGGCTGAGGCAAGAGAATCGCCTAAGCCCAAGAGCTGGAGGTTGCTGTGAGCTGTGACACCACAGCACTCTACGAAGGGCAACAAAGTAAAATTTCTTAAAAAAAAAAAAAAGGCTCAGGCAGGTCCTGACCTACTGAGCTTAGGCAATCCACCCACCTCAGCCCCCAGAGTCCTAGGATTACAGGTGTGAGCCACCCTGCCTAGTTGGGCCTCAGGATTATTTGATCAATTTATATGAATAACGAAGGCTTCCCTTGAGCTGGACTGGACTGTTTAAGGTTTGAACTGCTTTACTTCAAGTAATTTTTTTGTTTTGTTTTTGCATTTTTTGCTGGGGCTGGGTTTGAATCTGCCACCTCTGGCATATGGGGCCGGTGCCCTACTTCTTTGAGCCACAGGCGCCACCTACTTCGAGTAATTTAACAGAAAACAAGTCTATTAGTAACTAGCAAGTTAGTAATTAGTACAGTGTCCTGAACAAAGTTCAGTATAAGCCAATTCCTTTTCTATCTTACTTAGACCTGTTGGAGCTCAAGAGTACAGAGTGTGAATTACTAATAGTTATTGAGGGTTTCCAATGTGACAAGCAGGTATTTTCCATAATCTCATTTAATTTTCACAACTTGTTGAAATTATTTATCACGGTGGAAAGTTCCAACTGAGATAAGGCCTGCTAAGACTGCGAAAGCCTTGAATCTAATCAGGCTGCGATACCACTTCTGAGGATCAAATTGGCCAATAAATGACAAAATACTTTAAACTCTAAATTGTTTAGAGTTTAACCATTTTCTTATTTATGACAAATTCCTGGAGTTAACAACGGATGAAATAATTTTTTTAGTAACTGTTTTAGAGAAGTGGGGTCCTTGCTTGCTTGCCCAGACTGGTCCTTCTTGGCCTCAAGAGAACCTCCAAGGTTCAGCTTCCCAAAGTAAAGGGATTACAGGTGTGAGCCAACACGCCCACCCAGGCTGGCACATCTAATTGAAACGAAAGTTATTTAACTTCTGAAACAGAAAATCCAGTTTGGGTCTCTTCAGCCAGAGACAGCAAGTCTCTTTCCTTAACCTTAAAGCGGGGGCTATCTCAGACTAAAGAGATTGATTATATTATATAATAAGGACTATAAATGGTGGTCCAATAAATGTTAAGTCTTCACGCAGAAAAGGTTTGGCAGGGCAAAACTCGACCCACATTTAACCGGACTGAAGTCACGCGGGCTCTACCCCTTGTGGAGGTTCTCAGAGCTGCAGATTTCGCAGCGAGCCGTTGGCGTTTTCCCGCGCACGGGGCGGGGCGAAACGCGAGCCCCTGGCGGGACCACACCTCCCTGGAGGAACCACGCTCTGCACCGGGCAGGCAGCATCCGCTAATATGAGACCCAGGAACCAAACCTCGCCGCTTTTTCTCCTGCCTTTCCCTGGGTACTAAGGTCTCCGGGGAGGGTGTGCATCTATTAACCTGCGGAAGTGTGCGCTCCAGCTACGCTGTATGTTGGGAATCGTAGTCCCCTCGTTGCAACGTTCGGCAGACCAAACTTGCCTTGACTGGTCGCACCACATCACGTGATGGGAGAAAGGCGGCCGCAGGGGAGCAACCTGTGGTGCCTTGTGAGGTCATCACCGGGCGACAACGAACTGCCGTTGCGGGCAACTTGGTTGCGGTGGGTCACACTTTTGACATCTATGAGTACAGTGCCACAAAATCTCCTTTATTTGCTCCTTCCCCTAGTCTTCCCACGTCTCCGCGCTTTTGGCTTCCTTCGGTCCGGGTAGGGGCAATTAGGAGAGGCGGCGCGCTCTCCCAGCAGGCTGGGGAGCTGCGCGCGGGCGACGTGTAGTGGCTCCTCCTTCCCCCGTGACGCCGAGGTCACGTGACAGGGTGGGCCGCCTCTGCCGCCGCCGCCGCTTTGTAAGAGGCACATTGGCAGGTAACGAGCGGCGGCGGCGGCGGCAGAAGCAGCGGCAGGTCCTGAGTCCAGCGAGAGCACCAGCGGTAATTGCCACTCTCTCCCTCTCGTTCCTTGTTCCAGGGCGCTCAGTGTTGCAGTGTGCGCTTCCTAGTCTTGGATTCAGCTTTTCTGAATCCCCAACCTTTTTTTGACTGCCCCAGCGCTCACTCATGAAGATCGGGCCAAGGTTTTCTAGCCAGCTTCACGCTCCCTTCCTATGTCCAGGCCCGGACTGCCTCCTTCCTCTTTCCCTCGTGTGGTCCTGCGCTACTTTCTACTTTCCTCCGGCATCCTTATCGGCCGAGCCCCACCCAGCCCCCGGGGG